TATTTTAAACATGACAGACCGAAGTCATATTGTTAAGACAGGTACTAAGGTGGGGAAAGCAGTCCCTGCCGATCTAGTAAATGATAATAAGCCCACAGTGCGTCGTGTAAGCTTTGAGGGGGATAAAACTTATGATCATATTGCCCCACTCTTAGAGCAGTTAAATAAGACCGCGCCTGTGGAAGTCAGATCCGAGGCAGCGGAGCTAGTCAAAAAGTTTGCCGACGTCTTTGCCACTGATGACCTTGATCTCGGAAGTTTTTCCGAGATCGAACACTGAATAGACACCGAAAATGTGTCGAGCAGCGGATGCGACACACCCCCGCTATTTTTCAGGGGGAGGAAGAGGGTCATCTCGATAAGATGTTGAAAGCCGGAGTCATCCAGCCATCTTCCTCAGACTGGCCGTCTGCCCCAGTGCTGGTCCGGAAGAAGGATGGCAGCGTCCGTTGGTGCGTGGATTATAGAGCCCTTAATAAGGTTGACAGTCAAGGACACGTACCCTCTGCCACTCATTGAGGAGTGCATGGACACGCTAGCGGGAAACCGCTGGTTTTCCAAACTTCTGCTAATGCGGCTTACTGGCAGGTTAAGAGAGCTCCGGAAGACCGGAAAAAGACTGCCTTTATTACAAAATATGGCTTATTTGAATTCACTAGAATGGGGTTTGGTCTGTGTAATTCCCTCGCGACCTTTGCTAGGGCAATAAATTAGGTGCTACACAGGCTCAACTGGAAGATAGCCTTAGCTTTTTTAGATGATATCCTAGTCTTAGGATCTACAGCACACGCTCACCTTGATAACCTACGACAAGTGTTTGAGCGGTTCCGAGCATATGGCCTTAAATTCAAGCCTCGGAAATGCGAGCTGTTTAAGACTAAGGTTGAGTTCCTTGGTAGAACCGTGAGCGAACACGGAGTTGAGATGGGGGATCAATGCATTGAGTCAGTGCGTGATTGGCCAGTTCCCTGTGATGTTAAGGGCGTAGAGCGTTTTCTTGGCTTCGCCAATTATCACCACAGTTTCATCCATCACTTCTCCAGAATTGCGGCTCCGCTGTATGCGGTTACCGGAAAAAGTGGTTTCCGGTGGGGTGAAGAGCAGCAAAGTGCTTTTGAGGAACTCATTCAGTTAATGACTCATCCTCCAGTTCTAGCCATACCGAACAGTACAGGTGAAATCATTTCATCCTGGACACTGACGCCTCGGATTATGCCGTAGGCGGGGAATTAAGCCAAGTCCAGGGTGGGAAAGAGAGGACAATAGGATATGGGAGTGCTGTGCTATCCGCAGAACAGCGCAGGTACTGTACTACTCGTAAAGAGCTATTGGCGGTAATTAAGTTTACCAGACAATTCCGCCATTACCTGCTGGGTCGTGAGTTCACAGTCAGGACCGATCATCATAGCCTGGTCTGGCTAATGAACTTCAAGCATCCACAGAACCAGATTGCTCGATGGCTCGAGGAACTGAGCCAGTACAACATGCGGATCGTACACCGCCCGGGAAAGAAGCATGTGAATGCTGACGCTCTGTCCCGGGATATACCTGATTCATGCCTGGGGTACTCGACGAGAATTAGGGTCGAAGATTTGCCCTGCGGCGGATGTCGTTATTGCCGCCGAGCCCACGAGCGCTGGCATGACTTTAACACTTAAATAGACGATGTAATTCCTTTGTCCCAACTCTTTGACGAGACGCCCGTGCCAGCGGAGAGTCAGTCCGCCGAAGGGGGTAGTTGTGGTTCGTTAGATCCCACCCTTCGTCAGGCCATTGTTTCTAGTCCTTGGGAGGATACCCCTTTGCCTGTAAGTGCTTCTGCACTACCCAGTTTCCAGATTAATGTCAGTGGGGTGTCAAGTTTAAATCCCAAGATTGAGACAGTTAGTCCTCAAGTCTGTCAGGTAACAGGTGATACTGCGGGAATTTCGCTATCTTCATACAGTTCCGCAGACCTAGCCCAGAAACAGAAATATGATGTGACTATGGTATACCTTAGACAGTACTTAAAGTCTGGGGACCTACCTACTGAAAGTGACTTAAATATCTGTAGTCCGGAAGAGAAATGTTATCTTCTGGAGCGAGACTGTTTTTATCTCGACGAGACATGAGTTGTTTGGCGAGAACCGGATGACTCGGATGCGCCCTGTCGGCTCCTAGTGCCGCGGAGTCTCAGATCCGAGGTCATGCACTTACGTCATGACATACCGCCCTCTGGTCACCAGGGAATCCAGAGAACTAAAGAACGCCTTAAACAACAGTTCTACTGGTGGCAGATGACAAAGGACATAAAGTTATATGTCAAGACTTGTGACGTATGTGCCAGGAATAAGCGAGGTTCGTTGCCGAACAGGTCAGAGCTCAAAAGCTACCAAGCGGGAAGCCCGATGGAGAGGGTACATTTAGACTTTCTCGGGCAGCTTCCCCGAACTAATAGTGGGAACGAATACATCCTTATGATGGTAGATATCTTTACCAAGTGGGTCGAGTGTATTCCGCTTCCGTCTCAGACAGCGGAAGTGGCCGCTCGCTCTGCTATCAATGACTTCTTTTCTCGATTTGGCTATCCTTACGAAATCTTTACAGATCAGGGTCGTAACTTCGAGAGTGAGCTGTTCTGTAAGATTTGTGCCATGTTAGGGATACATAAGGCCAGGACCACACCTTACCGTCCGTCAGGGAATGGCCAGGTAGAGCGCTATAACCGCACTCTAATGGACGCGGTTCGTTGCTACGTAGATGGCCAGCCCAAGTCATGGGATAGGTACTTAGGCCCATTGGCTGGAGCGTTGCGGTCCGCGGTAAACCGCCATACTGGGTATACTCCAAATCGTCTCATGCTGGGTAGAAAAGTTAATATACCAGCAACCTTGATGTTCGCCCCACCGCCTTCCACGTCTTTTCAAAATGGGAAGGAGGGTAATGTGGACAAGTATGTACGTGATCTAGAAAACAATGTCAGAGCGCACGATATTGCCCGCGGAAAATTAAAAGTCGCACAAAAGGCAACGAAAAGGTCGCATGACATTAAGGTCCGTACCAGTAAGTTCAAGGTCGGAGATTTGGTCTACTGGCGCCGCAATGCGGTAAAAAAAGTAGATTCAGTATGGAGGGGTCCTGGGATAATAATAGAAACCAAATCAGACACAATATTTGTTGTAAAATCGTGGCGCGAGGTTAAGGTCATGCACCATGACAAGCTTAAAAGGTGCGAGTCCAGGCAGCTCCCTAAATGGTTAGTAAATTACAAGAATAAGTTGCCCGGACAGTCAGTAGCCCGAGATGGGGATAGTTCCCTTACACAGGAAGTGGTTGCACCGCTGGGGACAGCAGACTCAGGATTAAGTCCTGAGAGCCCGGGGAGTGGGGGTCACTCAATAGTTAGCCCCAAACCAGCGGAGTCAGTAGGTCCGTATATGGGTACTCGCAAACGGGCTAGGGAAAGATTAGACCAGACTAAACAACCCCAAGAGACCTAGAGCCACTAGGGAAACTAAGACTAAGAAGTATTGTGTTTGCCTACAGTCTAATCCCAAGGGAATGATGGTGCAGTGCGACAACTGTCGGGACTGGTTTCACCCAGGGTGTGTGGGTATAAGCGAGGATTATGCTAAATCTGTACCTCGGTATATCTGCCCCAAATGTAGTCCCGTCAGAGTCGACACTGGTTAGTTAGAGCAGTTAAGTTTCCGCAATGATGCGGAAGCATCTGCAGGTCTTAGTTGGATTTAGATCAGGTTTAGGTAGTAGACTTGTACATGAATTAGGAAGTTAGGCATAGGTTTGATAAACTTACCTGTCTTTGTAGGTTCATAAGTGATGTCTAAGGAGATTGATGAGTTGTCTTTGAGGGCGGAAGCTCCGCCGAAGAAGAAATGCGGGAACGCAGCGACGCGGACACGGAAGTGGCCGCTCCGGCGAGTGATGCTGAAGCACCGGAGGGGGACCTCGGGGTGCCCAGAGGTCGAGGGATCATCACAGGAATTCCGGATGCGCCGCCTCCATTGCCGCCGGCTGGACGCGGAGCGCTTATCCGACTAGTGTTCATGATTTTTCTCCTACAGTTAGCTCGTTTGCTCAGGGTGTCCCCTGAGGGTACCAGCGACTTTGGGTTGCTGGGTCATCTCCGCCAGTGGGTGGTCCGGCGGATGGGAAAAGTCGAGTGGGGGTTTTCCGGTAGTGTGAGGGACCTGATGATCCGTTTCTCTGCCCACCTGGGTATTGTGCCGCCCTTCGAGTCGGAAATCCGCAGGGTGCGGTTGGGGGAGTTACCCCATGTTGCCATACTCATACACCCCGGGTAATAGCTATTATGTTAAATAGTGCCGATATAATGGGGACTTGGAACTAACATAGCGGAATCCTGGGAGGACGAGGCCATGGTTAGCAGCGGAGTGGTCTTAGTACCGGACAGCCTTCCGAGCTCCCGGGAGAGTTTGGTGACCACGACGGTGGTGGCGGAGAGTCCGCCACCACCACCAATTGTTGTTGTTGTTCCGCCGGAGGAAGGCGCCAGCGGAGGAGTTCCGCGACCATCCTGGTCAGCGGACACAACGATACCACTTATTCAAGTTGTAGACTGCCTGTGGTTTCCTCGGAGGATCCGGGGGGTGAGTTACAGTCGGTGGAGGAGTTGTTGCGCGCAGACCATCGTCCAGTTGATGTGAGAGTGGAACTGATGGGTGGGTGCGTAGCGTATAGTTTCCGAGAGGAGCCTCTCTCGGAGGTAGGAAATCCGCATTGGGTTGTAGCCCAGGGGAATGCCCCTGGGTTGGCGGACTTGATTCTGTAGCCCGCGTTGTGGGAGTGTGTAGAAACAGGAACTTTGTGTTAGGAGAGATCGGACTGGATATCCACTCAGAGGTGCCAGAAAGTTTTTGCTGGCGGAGTTCTTCCGCCAGGCGTCGTTCAGTACCGGGATGATACTGGTTTTGAGGGGGATCGCGGACGACCCTTTGGGCCGCGTCCATACCCAAGATTGCCTTACACTGTTGGACGGGATGTTCGTTCCCATCCTAGTACCTATCTTTGTCCGTGACTTCACAGGTGGACCGGAGCAGGTGAGACTCTGGGTGGAGTCTGGCCGACCCGTATTCTTTGGAGTTGGAGGTCGGATTGCGGAGATGTCCGCGACCCAGTTGTCGGGAGTTAAAGCTATTCCTATGGACCGACTGCTAGTCGAGTCGGATAGTCCCGAGTTTCCTTGTGGAGTTGAGGCGCCGATTGGCCCCAGGCACATTGGAGAAGTGTACCGGAGAGTCGCCGCAGCGAGGGGACAAGATGTCGCTTTGCTGGCGGGCCTGGTTTTCAGGAATTTTAGGGTGTTCTTTGGACCACAGTTGAGGGGACCGTTTTGAACCAGTTATGCTGAAGCCGGGACGTAAAGCCCGAATGAACTTACCTGAATCGGGAGCAGATAGTCCTGATGTCTTAGCCGCACTAAAGATGTCACCCTTAGATGTACTGAGCAGAGCCTATCCAGATGTATCAACGTTGGACCACTTGGTAGATGTTAACAGCGAGGGACCTCGTGGTGTTCCGAGACGACGCGGATGATGAGTGACTGTGTGATATGAACTGTTTAATTTGTGATTTTTATTATTATAGAGACATTAATGTTTAAAGCTTTATTATTGTGTGAATGCATGTGTATGTATGTAAGATAAGCCCTGTTAGGAGTTAACTTTTTATGATTTGTATATTAAAGCTTGTCCCATTGTATATACTTTACGGGCTGGGACGCCCTCTTACAACATAGGGAGGAGTGTAGTGGTCCTGGAGGAGCTTGGGACGAATTCCCTAGTAGCCTCCGATCACGTGTCCGGCAGTGATGCGGACTATGACGTAATCCTCACTCTCTTCTATGCTGATTGTCTACCCGACAAGACGTGTTACTTGGTTCTCTGTAAGTCATTGTGTAATTGTCACATATTATTGGCGACCACAAACGCAATCAAATGCGGATTTTATATCATAGTATTTGCCTGTTTATTCCGCCATCACAGTATACTTATGTAGATACAGGAAATACTATAGCCCTGAGTGCCGAGTATAGGTCTAAATTTGAAGCCCTTCACCGGCATACGGTGAGGTTTCCATATGAGTGAAAAATTCTCAAGAGGGACGTTACACAATATACAATCAATCAGTCAAATAAAGTTTATTATTACTGTTCGTTATCTCCGTCTCAAGAGAACCCGGATTTAAGCTGAACCCTTTAAAGTGCCACTTTTTCCCGAGGTGAGATTTCAATATCTAAGTTACACATCAAAACGAGTATCAAAGCCTTCGGCTCAGGTGACCTGCAAATTAGGCTTTGATGAATTTTGAAAAAAAAAATTTTTTCTAAATACTGTAGAAATACTTTTTTCCGCGTGGTATTAATTTACGCTATGTCCGCGAACACAAACATTCCGCGGAAATATGTCCTAGCATACTTAATATAAATGTATGGCATATAGTGACAGTCTAAGAAATCCGCGTAATTTTCTACCCGCGGATTAAACAGAAATTGAGATTCCGCGGAATTATGACCCCGTGGAAAAAAGTACGATTACAGTATAGTGAAAAGGTTTGATCAATTATGCTTTAATTATCTAATTTATTCAACCCTGCAGTTAAAATACATCCACAATTTGCATTTAATTTACAAAATATTTTAACTGGAATTTCTCTTTCTCTCTCTAGTTTCAGAAGATTGAACTCAAAACACGTATGAAATTCATCTTAACTTAGCAACCAGCAAAAATGACAGAAAGGAAGTCAAAAAAGATATCTTTAATGTTTTTGAAAATGGTAACATTAAAGGCAAGAAAAGAGCAGAACACTGTTCTCAGTTTTGTTTTTGGCATTTTTCTTAAGTAAAAAACAATGAAACGAAGATCTCTTTGCTTCCAGATTTAAAGGTGGAGAAACGATGCCAAAGGAGTTTTAAAGTGCATGTCAGAGGTACTAGTAATTCTCTTACATGCATATTTATATCTAATAAATCTATAGGGAATATTGAAATATTGTTCAGCTTCAATTTAATTTTTCAGATGTAAAAGAGAAAACTATGAGAAGAAAAGTGAACAGGAGCCGCCTACGAATAAGTAAGTATATTTGTATAAATAAATTATTATGGTCAATAGTTAATACAAATACAAGGGAAATACAAATAGTTTAGAAATCTTTTATGCTTATATTTAGTTTTATTTTGCAACTATACATGGTACATGTATACATTAAATAGGCAAAAACAGATAAACAAAGAGAATATCTGTTGAAGACAGGGGTAAGCATATCTATCTTTTGCAGACAATAGCTGAATGCAAATTCTTTTTATTTTTGGTATTTTTAAGCGTGTTTTCTTTCAAAAAGATAAATCACAGTCCTTTAAAAACTTCATGTTGGACTAAATTATTTTTATCAGGTCAAGGAAGACAAGTGAGAAGAAAACTGTGGTTCAAACAGAAAAGCTGAAACATGCTGAACAGTCTGTGGAAGCAAGGTGCAGCTTCCGCAGGCTTTCGAAATGTTAAAGAACACCACACAACAACAGAAAAAGCAATATAATGGATGAATGATTTTGCATTGTTTCATGGGGATCAGATGCCTGACAAAGGAGTTATTCTTTTGGCTTACAAAACTAGAAAAAAAAGACATTTATTACCAATTCTTTAAGGAAATAATCGAAAAATATGCAACGAAGTGTATCCAAGGCAAATTTTACAAAATTTGGAAGGAGAAATTTTCACACCTGAAGATTAAACAGGTACATGCAAGACTGCAATATATTTTACCTTCAAATGAATTTTTCTGCAAATAATTTAACTAAAAGCTGAGAACACTACTAGAAACTTTGTATACTAATTGAAATTACATTTCCATTCGTAAAAACGAATGAGATTTTATGTCTCCTCGCTTTTGCAAATAATATTTAAAAGAAGAAATGTACACTTGTGTCCATAAAATGTTTAGGTACTTTATTTCCTGACATTTACTGTCTTCTACTTCCTTTCCCCAAATATCACAGAACTGTCTTATGCTTTATCTTAAAAAATTATATTACTTTACAGTTGTAACACTCAAACATGTGCTTAAGGTTTGCATTATTCAGATGAAGAGGTCTTAAAATAAATCCGTTAGTATTACAGTTATAATGCATCATGATTATGCATGCGCTTAGGTTTATCAATTTAATCTACATTTTTTACATGTTTTATATCATATTTTTTAGACGAACTCTTTTTCAAAGTGTAACACGCGCACTAAATTGGATGCTCAGCTCTAGGGGTGAAACGGTTCACCGCGGTATCGTCATGTGGATAAAATGAGGAAAACATCACAAAATATATTATTTCCTTAACATGACAAGGAGCACAGGGCGGGTAAGATCGGTCGGCAGGAGATGCTCACTCCTCAAGGCACCTGATTCCACATCTGATATTTTAGAGGTCCGTGTTTGCCCTGCTACTGTTTTGTCTTGTTTTATGGACCTTGATATTGAATGATATTTGTTATCTCCATATCCTTCACCGTTTAGATCTTGAAGTTAATTTACAAGACCTTCAATGATGCAAATTGCAGAGGTTAAGCTTGGTAGGCCAAAAAGAGAGAGTGGGGGGAGATTCACTATTGCCACATTTCTGTGAAAAGATTGATTGACTGTATACTGTTTAACGTCCCACTCCAGAATATTTCACTGATATGGAGACGTCACCTTTGCTGGTGAAGGGCCTATGCTCGGCACTTACGGCCTTTGAGCAGGGACGGTTCTTTATCGTGCCATACATGCTGTGACACGGGGCCTCAGTTTATACGGTCTCATCCGAAGGACTGCCCCATTTAGTCTCCTTTTACGACAAGCAAGGGGGTACTGAGGACCTATTCTAACCCGGATCCCCACGGGGCTCTGTGATAAGAAGAGAAATAAAATTGTATTTTCCATAATGTTAATGTGATTGGTAGCGCGAGGGAACACAAGTATATCTGCCCATATATACATACTTATCTATAAGAAATTTCTTTTTGTTACTTTTCGAGGTTATCATGGTAATACTATGATTTTAATACCCTCTATGCACCTACATGAGAATGTTTAATAATTATCGATCATATTGCAGTAATAAAATCATTTTTGTTGGGTATCTTGTCAAAATGCACATGTCTGGGCAGTCATCAATATACTAGAGCATATCTCTGGGTATGGGGTACCGTCAGAACGTTCTTCAACCTTGCAGTTTGCCCTTTCAATGGGACAATCCTCGTGGTGAAAAGAGAAAAACGCCTGTTTTGAATATGTTTATTACCCGTCCAACAATTCTTGACAGAAAGCAAGAGGCCAACAGGCCTTATAGGTCACCTGAGTATCGTGAAACAACTTTCAAACAATTGAATTCGATTTAAACTAGAGGCTATGAAATTTACAATTTTGAAAGAGGCACCATTGCTTATCATAATTATTAACTTGGCATGCTTACTCTATTTACGTACCCAGAGGGAGATAAGAATAAAAAGAGAAAATACACATCCACTTTATACCCAGTTGTGCACCTCACCCCAAAGAAAACCACTAACCCAGGGGCCACATATTTCAAAATTTTGCAAACTTTAAAACAAAATGGTTGATTAATATCAAAGAGTAGATTTAAAAGCATTAATTTATTTTCATACTATGTACCCCCCCCCCCCCCCTTCCTCTGACCAAGGGGAAAAAAATAACTCTTTGCTAGATGCACCTTTCCTCATCATAAATATATATATTTGAATCTTTGGCATAAAACAGAAGCAAATGAAAATATTTTTAATGAATAATGCATTTTCACTATGTAATCAATAGAGACCTGTCCTAACACCAGAACCCCTGATCCTGGGGCCATAAAATTCACAATTTTGGAAGAGACACTCTTGCTCATCAGAACTATGTACTTAGTTTGTTTATTTCATACAAAGCAGAGATTTTCAAAGAATTATGCATTTTCACTATATAATCAATAGAGCCCCGTCCTAACACCAGAACCCCTGACCCTGGGCCCATAAAATTCACAAATAGGCACTCTTGCTCATCATAACAATGTACTTAGTTTTATTTAATACCCAGGAGGATAGATGAAAAATTTTCAACGATTTAATGCATTTTCACTATATAATCAATTAAGCCCCACCCTAACACCAGAACCCCTGAACCTGGGGCCATAAAATTAAAAAATATGGAATAGGCACTCTTGCTCATCATAACTATGTACTTACTTAATTTATTTAATACCCAGGAGCAGAGAAGATTTTCAAAGAAATAATGCATTTTCACTATATAATCTATGTAGCCCCGCCCTAGCACAAGAAGCCCTGACCCCGGTGTTATGAATTTCACAATTTT